AAGAGGAGGCTCTCACTCACCTGCAGTCCTGCCTGGGCTTAGGGATGTAGCCTGGGTAGGCTCCCTCAGTGATCAGCTTGCACATCCTGCTGTCACGGTCGGAGGGGAGCAGGGTGCTTGGCTTCACCAGCAGCCCCAGACAGTGCTCAAACGTGTTGCGCTCCTCTGGTCCATCCTCCGTAAAGAAACAATGGCCCAGGGCATCATAACCCACCACATCCTTCACCTGCATCAACAAAATAAGGGTCAGTGTTGAGGTTTTATGCTCAGCCACTGCACAATTAGAACAAACTTAGTGTGATGGCACATAGGAGCTTCAGTTCCCTTTTGAACTCAGGATCTAGAACCAAAACCAAAAGCAAGATTCCTCTCAGACCCTTCAGAGCTTATAGTCAAAGCAATAACTCTAACACTTAATTAGAATTTGTCATCACCTAGGAAATGCTCATTCCATTCCTTTCTTTGTTTGCCTGAGAAATCAGAGACTGTCTTAGCATGAGGCTGGAAAAAATACAGGGTGGGGGATGAGGAGAGGAATTAGATGTTCAAATCACATCTGGGCTCATTCATCTTCATGTGGAGTTACATGGGCAGCTACATAAAATGCAGCTCAAAAATGCAGCTGAGATGACAAGTATTTTTCCAGGCTATCAGAGAGGCAGAAATTTGTTTTCCAGACAGACTGGCTTGTTTTAGGTTTAACATGATCTTTTTCTTCAAGCTGTTGACAGAAGCTTTGCTTGACCCTGAGACAAATCAGCTGGTGTTAATCAGTGCTGCTCTGGTTTTGGTTTGGATGCTGGTTACATCAGGACACTGCTGGTTGACAGAACAACAGCCCTCACATCACTAGAAAATCTGAGAGCAGGAATGTGAGTTTGAAGCCTAAGGAGGGGACAAGATGGGAAGTACCAAATCAGTTGTCAGTGGATATATCTGGGATATAGAAAATTAATGTCAGGTCTCCATTGACCAGGGCAAGGTCTGGATCTCTGGGCTCTTTCCTTGCTGTTCCCATCAGTCACCACTCATCAATCACCTTGGGCTCAGGAAACCTCCCCAGCAAAGGTTAATCTGCCACAGAAGTGTTCCTCTAAATGCTTCTGATGAAACACTAATTGTCAGGGGACAAGGGACAGCATTAACCCTGATAGATGGCCTGTTCATCATGGTGTCACTGAGAGACCAAGTGCATGGGCATCCAAGTGCTTGAATTGTTTTTGTAAACAGGCTTGAGACTTCTTTCACCTTCACACCTCATTCCTGGGGCAAGGAGCACCAATTTCAAATAAAATCCCAGTATTAGTGTTGAAATTATTACAAATATGTTTTCACATGAGAACAAATACTTTGCTTGCCAAATCTATTACTGGCTTACAACCACACAGACTTCTATTATGTAACATCCATGCTCCAGTGTAAATACTCAAATCTCTGAGCACAAGTCATCACAGTCAATTAAACACTGCTAAAATGACCTGCAAAATGGTACATTCCATTAAGCTACCTCACTGAGATTCACTGTTAACTTCCCATTCTAATAAATTATATATTTTGCAAGGTTTAGCCTTCTTTATTTAGGTGTAAAACACATATACGAAAGAAGAATGAACTATCCCAGCCTTGTTATGATAAAGGTTTACAGGACAGAACTTTTCAAGAGAGTGAGCAACATTCAGAAGAAGGTTTCCAACATGCAGAGGAAGTCTTTTAACCACAGAGATCTCAGAATTCCACAGAAACTTCCACCAAATCCTATCAGCCTTCTCTCACAGGACAGCAATACCAAAAAGACACATAAACAATGTTGTTGGTACATTTAGATGATGGAAGCAGTTTCCCTAGAGAAATGTTTGCCACTTCAGCCATTTATCTTTCCAGCTGGCACAACATTGCACCAGGACAGGGGCAGGGAAACCTGCAGTGCCCAGACTCAGCTGGGGCCAAGCAGGGATGCTGTCCCAGGGGATGACATCTCCCAGAGCAGCGAGAGAGAGCAGAGCAGGGTGAGACAGGGCTGTGCACTGGCAGAGAGGCTCAGAGCCAATGCCTGTTGTTCTCCTAACTCATCCCTGAAAGTCCACAGAACAAGAGGGAGTTAGAGCCAGGGATCTGGTCCCTTAGGCATTTGTCACCTTCTCTTTGATTGATTATTTCCCCATAGGCCATCTCTCAGTCACCTCTGACTTGTTTCATTCACAAGCCCACTGCTGAAATGCCTGGAGAGCAAACAAGATGCTTGTTCCAGAATCACTCTTCTAATGTATTTAATTTTTTTCTCTGATTAAAACCTTGCTAATAGTCCATAATCTTACATTAACCATGAGCAATTTAGAGACAGATAATGCCCTTCCTGGCAAAACAATTGCTGTGAAGTATAGCTGGATTAGTAAAAGCAGACACCACTGAAGCTGTTAGATAGTACAACCTCTTAATTCCATGAAGCACAGGTCTCCCCTGGATCCTGCCAGACTTTACTGACCCCCATTAAATTTCCTTCCCCAGTGGTTGCTTCTACTTTAGCTTGCACACAGGGATCCAATGGAGAGTGGGCATCAGAGCAAAGTTCCATCCCTGGGATTGCAGTGGTGTAACTAGGTGTTTTTTTGGCCAATATATTGCAGAAAACATTGGGTAACTATTGCATTTTAAAACAATAATTATGGTGAGAAACTAATTTCTACAAATTTGTTTCCCTCTGTGCCTATCAGCTAATATGAATTTACAAGAGCAGAATAACCCACCAATGAGGGGAGCTAATGTTGAGACAGATACTTCTAACAGACTGTGCAGACCCACAGAAAAATACCTGTCATTAGAAATAACTGGATACTCTTTTCTCCTAGACTTTTCAGAATCTATGAGTATCTCTGAAGTGACATGAGAAAAGTGACAGCAAAGCAAGCAGGAGAAATTGTATGTAAATTATCTGCCTGCTTTAATGACAGTATAAAACAACTGATGCCCCTCTCCCATTTATTAAAAACATTTTCACAGGTGCTCTACAACACTCATGCAAGAAGCAGCTCTGAAATCAACAGCTCAGTGTTAAGGACATCATTCAGTCTGTGCTATGCTGAGGTTTAATAATCCAGCTGGAATTTCTATGGCTATTCCCAAAGTGTGCACATCATAAAGGCAAATCTTCCCTCAGCAAAGTACACTTTGGATCTACCTGATCTCAGAGGGAATGGATGTTACCTGGGGAAAGACAAAGCTCATCTCTGTTTGCAGGAGTGGTGCTCCTGCATGTAGAAACAGCTGGTGCTGCCCAAGTAAAGAGACAACAGGCAGCTGGGAAATGTGTACAATAACTATTGTAGTCATCAGAAACCCATGTGGGTGTCTTTGAATATATCTGAGGGAGAAGGAAGAGGAAAGGAAGGAAATGAGAGTCAGAAAACAGATGAGGAGATTGTGGTGGGATCACCTGATGAATCAAGGCATGGAGCTGCTGACTGCAGATGTGTATCAGAGCCATGGAACAACACCTAAGTGATGCAACATTTGGAGCACATTTTCTGTGACGCAACTGAACAAACTTGATCAGATTGCTTTAATTCACTGGAGCTTGCTTTTCAGCCATCAGCAATAATGATGAGGTTAAAAAAACCCAAAACAAGTAAACCTAAAGCTTCATATTCACACATTTTGATAAACTAAAATCAAGAGGGGTTATATTGACTAAATAATGTCCTAAATTACAAGATTTCTCTTGGGTGCCTTGTCACGGAAGCAAAGTATGATCATTTAGAGAATTGTGATTGTTCGATAACATCAAGAGAATCAGGTCACTTTCATCAGCTATATCAGCCCGTCTAAATTTCACCTTGCCACCTCAGCTGGAAAAGCTTGAGCACATGGACTCCTATGCCACAGATCCCCCATGGCACAGTTGTTGCCCAGAGAAAGCACAAGGGACAAAACTATTTCCAAATTCTCTGCATGAACCCATCCCTCTGACTGACAAGAAAAATGCCAGGCTCTGGGTATTTGGTTTGGCACAAACCAACTCTGCACATTCATTGTGTACCAAGCGCCTCTACTGGCAGCTTCAGCCTGGGCAAATGCCACATGACCCTGAGTGACTTATATAATTTATACAGTAAAATGTCTCTCCATTTCAGAAGCATGTTCATGGTAGGTTTTCAAGATCACGTTATAAACTTAGAAGGACAGAGGTCAAACCCAAAACCTCAGATTCATAAATAGCAGATAAAAGCTGGTCTGCTTCTGGAACTGCAATTTAAGTGCCCTTTGTTCAACTTCTGTGCATTTTAATTATCCTGGGACTCTGCCTTCCAATGCTGGCACTTCTAGAGGTATGAACTCCTAATGCACAGTCACCATCCAGGTTACAACTGCCAATTATGTTTCCACTTAAAATTCTGTTATATATAGCAGCAGGCTCTTGACAGTACAAATTCTCCTCTTCAAGGCTTGGATATATTTTTTTCTTTTGGAATACATTTCACTGAATGGGTGAAGAGTCCTTTGCCTAGAGAAACCCTGCACCTTTAAGATTTGCTTCTTGAAGATCATCCAGTCCCCCTGGACTCTTCTGCCCTTCAGGACCTGCCTCTCAAGGGACTCTGTCAACCAGGTTCCCAAACAGGCCAAACTCTGCCCTCTGGAAATCCAGGGCAGCTCTTCTGCTGACCCCCATTCTTACTTCTCCAAGAATAGAAAACTGCTGTAATTTTGTAATCACCATGCCCAAGACAGCATCTAACCATCACATCACCCACAAGCCTTTTTCTGCTCACAAACAACAGGTCCAGCATGCTTACCCCAAAAACAAAGGCACCCCTAGATCTGGGGAGAATCTGAACATGTTCTTGACAACTCTGGTGTGCTGTGACTTGTCTGGTATCCATCAGTCATTCTAGAGATTTATCCTAAAGGATTTCTTGTTATGGAGTGCAACTCTAGGAAATCACAGCTCTGTGAGTGCTCAATGCTATGACTGGCATTGCAAGCCCAAACCTTTATTACAGGAAAGATGAGGCACACTTAAAGCTTCTGATTATCCTCTTTAAATAGCAAATTCCGTGTCTGCAGAAAGATCCAACCACTCATTAGGGATGGGCTGGTCTGCAGTGCCCAGACAAATGCTCTGCCCACTCTGAGTCACACACAGCCCCCAGTGCCACACTGGCAGGTTGGGATACTCCCTGTGTATCCAGGGTGGGAAGAGTCAGGCTTTGACTTTAACAATAAAACACATCATTCTGCAATAATTAAGCTGCATTCATGCTATGAGGAAGCTTTTTCCCTGCTGTCTTCATCTCTAAGGCAGACACTGGAACTTCTTACCAGTAAACCATTGGATCCATGGATTGTGACGCAGCGGGAGAAGGTGTGGTGGATGGAGGTGTCCTTCACATAGGTTGGAGGGTTGTAGCCTCCTTTCTCATCCACATCTCCAGCCATATGGAAATGAATGGGGTAATGCCCCATTGTCTGCTGGCCCATGTACTTCAGTTCCAGACCTTTAATGTGGGTAGCCTTAAAATCAAGACCAATCTGGAGAACAAAAGAACAGAAGTCAAGAAACATGAAAGTCTGATGAGGGCAAGGAGAGGGAACACAGGCATAGAAAGGGCTGCATTGTATCTACTGAAGGATTTACTGTGTGGAGGGGAGTGTGGGGCTGCAGGGTGAGGGAGAGAGGGCCATGGTGGCTCAGGAGAGCAGAGCTGCTCTTTGATTTCCCCACTGCTGCCTCAGACACATTTAATTGCAGAAGGAAAGTAATTTATATTTATAATTTTCCATGTGTTTTAGCCAGCTGGGTTCAAATTGAATTTCCTGTGCTAAGCACCACCAAAATCTAGGGAAAACTGGGATTGGAATGTGGAGAATTTATCTCAGGTGTATTGATCACCAGCCTCAATGTCTGCAGGAGCATGACATGCACTTCAAAGCTGAAGGACAGGCAGCAGCCAGAGGGTGGATCTGCTGTACTGTGGGGAGAGTTTGTTTGCTCAACGGCTGATGAGGAATTTTTCCCTTCCTGCGTCTCGTTTTCCTTGCTATGTGAAGGCGTGGCTGGAAGGAGGAAAGAACAAGCCAAGGGCTCCAGGCTCACCTTGATGTGTCCCCCGAAGGTGTCGAAGTCAAAGAAGGAGCAGAGCTTGCTGCTGTACTCGTAGCACTGCTGCTCCATCTCTCCCATCACCAGCACGTTGCGGCTCAGCAGCCCCACCTCCGCCCGCATGTCCACGCCGTCCACCACCTCGCCCATGTGCAGGTACGTGGCCTTCCCTAAAGGAACCAGATCCACTCTCAGGTTACTCTGCCACTGCTGCTGCCTTCCCTGGGCTTCCTGTGGTGGGGCTCATGAAAGGAGCAACCCAGTCAGCACAAAGTGCTGGCTGACACCTCAAAGGAGGGAAGGCTGGAGCACAGGTGACACCAAGGCTTGGTGGGATGTTTGTAATGGAGGAAGTGGGATTTTTGGTCTTGGGTTGCTTCATTTATCCAGGGGGTTAAACCAACAGCCTGTTAGACAAAACACATTTCCTACCTTGAAAAGGAACTGTGGATTACCAGCGGCTGTGTGTGAACATCCAGTGCAAAAAAGCCCTGATGATGCAACTGCTGGGAAGTCTAAATCACCAAGGTTAGCACAGCATTTCCCACAATGAGACACAGGGAGCTGCTGAAACCCCACAGCACTGCTCTTGGGCAGGCATCAGCCAGATCCTGCTAACACCATGGCTGTTGATGCCAGCAAGGAGCAGAGTGGGCAGAAAGCCCTGTAGGAATTGTGACAATCAGCCCCTCACCAAGTCTGTGAGCTGTAAAACCTCAGACTCCCTGGTTTCCCAAATCTCTCCATTTTAGATCTACCCTCACTTCTCCAACTTGTTCCCAAAGCTTCCTCCTACCCTAGTGCAGTCAGAGTCAATGGGATCTTCCATCTACCCCAAGCCACACCTTTCTTTGCCAAGGAAAGCTGTTAATAACATCTTCCACACACACCCTCCTCCATGGAGGGGTTAAAAGCACAGAAAAATTTCCCTGGTCTGACCAGAAAGGGGGGAAGTTCAGGCAGTGGGGATGTCTAGAAAGCAAAGTATCTCTTTGCTGTAATTTCATTCAAACATATTCCTACTACCTCCTTCCTTCCGCAGGTTTTTGCAGAGAAAAGTCAGCTGGGAAAAGGTTCACCTTACTGACTCCATTCTGTATTATTCCAGTAAAAATAAGTAATAAACTCTTTAAGTAAACACTGAACTTTGAGGAATGCTACACTTGCATGTATTTAATTTCCATTGAATCGTTCAAATCCTTAATTAGAAACAAATGGCAAGCCTGAAGCCTGGCTATCCCTGCACAGCACTTTATGCTTCAGCAGAGGTGCCAAGTCAAGGGGAAGATTTTGAACACTGAACCAATATTATTTTTAACCAAAATATGATGCTATGAATGTATGAAAAAGATAAGCAAACACCACTTACTCCCTCTTCCTCTGAAGCTGGAAGCAGTGTAATTTGATGGCAATACTGGGGTTTGGGAAGGGTGAGTGCTCCACCCTGCTCTCCCACTGCTGCCTTGTGGGACAGGGTTCACACCACAATGTGCCTTCTGCCTGTGCACCTCTGCCTTCAAAACCATCTCATCTTGTGAAAAACTCTCTCTGTTAACTAGGGCAGTGGTGGTGGCCAAAGAGCTGCCTGTTCATCTCAGAAATGAAGGGCTTCAAGGGACCCTGGATTTGCACCTCTCCCACTTTTTCAATTGTCTCCCTAGAAAATCCTGGACTTCCCCATGCCTGCGTTGTTGCCCTGCAGCCAGTGAGCCTCATCAGGTGTGTGGCCAAAACCAGACTCAACCCACCCAAAAAAACAGCAGCTCTGCTTCCTTTATCCATATACATGAAAAAAGCCACTGCAGTGAGTGCCCTCCACATGAGGATACCCCATGCTGGAGCTTTGAGTGAATCTGCAAAGGAGCACAGCTTCTCCTTATGGAACCTTTTTTAAGCTGTTATTTTTCAGTTTTCCCCAGAGCTGACCCCTCCTTGATTTACTGAAATGCAGGAAGGATTTTAGATAATCATAAGAACATACTATTTGAAGCCACATCTCCAGGATTTGTGGCAGTGAAATTAGATAGGCAGTTTTTTATTCCTGTGTTGAGCTCTAGAATAATAAATGTCATGCTTGCATGTATTTAATTTAATTTAACACCAGTCCAGACATGCAAAACAGGGTAAGCACTGACAGGAATGTTAAATACGGACTAACCAGTTTCTAAATATAACTTCTTGGGTGCATGTTTTTCACTCCATGCTTTTGCTGATTTGACATGTTTGGAGATAAAAGGAGAGATGGAAAGCAATCCCCTTCCAGAGTAAAAGCGGATTTTGAATAATAGCTCCTTTAATAGAGTTCTGAAAAACAAACCACTTCTCAAGGCAGACAGAAATTCAAGCTCCTGGCAGAAACAGGGTTGAAAGGAGACAGAGGCTGGCATGGGAGCCCTTGTGTGCTGTAAATGAGTGCTGGGAACCAGCACTACAACACTGGGCACTTCCCATGGGACCTGGAGCACTGTGAGGGGCATTTACACACACGTGGCACTGCCTGGGGCATGTATGGTGGTGGGCAGGGAGAAAACCCACAGAAGAGTCTGCTTGCTCTGTGGTGGGTTCAGGGAGCTCACACCACCTCACTCTGCAGAGCCACAAGTTTGGAGTCTGGCTGCTGCTCCCAGCTGGCACATGGAGCCTTCCCAGAGAGCAGCCAAGATATCTGAGACCCTGAGCACTGACCAAGGGCAAACCCCAGCCAGGGGTTTGCAAACGGGCACTGAAGTGGTTTGATGCTAAAAAGGCAACCCTGTGCTTTGAAAGTGGCAGGGATGTATTGCTGCTTCAGCATCAAAGGCAGGGCTGTGATTTCCCAACCACCAAGAAGCCCTGAGGCCACTGATTCACCTTCTCCTCCTCTGGGTGAGGGTTTGCTGCATCCCTGATGGCCAGAGACTGCCCTGCCAGCCTTGTGCCATGCTGTAATCTAAACCAAACACAGCCTTGCAGTGGCACAGATCGCATCTCCCCATCACAGAGCCACAGGAAAAGCAGCCTGGCTGTGCTGCTACATGTGTCAGAGCAGTGCCTCCAGTCAGCACAACGTCGATTCACAGGGAAAACTTCCTTCAGACGTGGGCTTGCCTGGTGGAAGTCTTGATTCAGCAAAATATGAGCACATTCCTGTGCTCATTACTCAAGGCAGTGACTATTGAAGTCAGTTGTTGGTAAGGATAAGGTAATTATTAAAAGGAAATGTACATTAAAATAAACATAAGATGATTCACTCAGCAAGGGCATGCTTATGTCAACAAAGCAATTCAAAGCAAATGGTACAAAGGAAAACCTGCCACATGTGAAGCCAGCCATAAAACCTGGGTCTTGGGCCTTATCAAACCTGGGAAGGGTGGGATTTTGAAACTATTTCAACTGCTGCAAATGTGGAAGAGTGCTCAGATCTGGTGGGTTAGATCTCTCAGAAAACCCTCCCAGGTACACTCGTGCATTCCTAAATCCCTTGACTCTAAATGGCCCAAACTGCTAAATCTCCCTTTAAGAAGTAAAACCAGCAGTTGAAGGTCTGGATTTGGTGAAGATAAGTAAAGCTGGGATTCTCCTGGAGTATTTCTTTTTCTCTAAAGTGTCTTTTCTTCTCCTTTTGGCTCTCTAGGGATAAGACCCAGTACCTCATGGTCTTTTGATGTTTCCTAATCACGTTTTTAAGGCAAATGCTAAACACAATTTGTCTGTTCAACCCACAATCCAGTGACAGTGAACCCTTCAAGGCATCTTTAATGTCAGTTCAGCTCATTGCAGATGCCAGCCCAGATCTGACAGATTTATCATTTTTGCCAAGCACTTGTCATCACTGGTGGTAATGCCCCTATGGCTTATATTTAATAACAAACAAATGTTCATGCTGGCATCTTTCAAATCCTCATTATTCTGAATTATCTTGCTGGGGTTTGCTGTTGCATCCCTAAGCCACAGGGCTGTAACTCAGCATGGCTGGGGTGAGCTGGCTGGCTCTTTGAGCCACACAGCACAACCTGATGTCCTAATCAACAAATATTCCTCCAATTCATAACTTTTACATGGAAAATTAAGTTTTCAGCAAATAGACATAACAGCAATCAGGCACAAACTCTACTCTTATGAGCATCTATGTAAACCAGAATTAGATTCTGTCAGCTCAGCTCCCAGGCAATGCCCCAAGGTAGAAGGAGCTCTGAAGGACTGTTGGAAATGACAATTTCACAAGATTCCCTGCCCTGCCCTCAAGCACCAGGGTTGCCTTAAAAAAAGAGTTTTTGTCAAGTTCCAGCCAAAATGATGCCAGCTTCTGAACAGAACACCCTAAATCTCTAAAAATATCTGAATTTTGATAGTGGAGTAAATTTTCCCATCCTGACAGCACCAGATAAATGCTGACACAGGCTGTGAATTTGTGGAACAACTACATATTTCTACTTTTAATTCAAAGTTCTTTGTATGAACAAGATCACAGTAAACTCCTTATCTCTCTAATATTTGCAACCCAATAAGCAGGACTGAAGAGATGTATGCTTGAATTCATAGGTTCCCCAGCATGTGGGATAATTGGAGTAATTATGCCAGGCACGAACAGTTTTTTCATCCTTTATCAAGAGCATATAGGAGCACAAAAGAGCACTTCATCATTTCTGTTCCGTGGTGAAACTTATCAGCATTAGTAGAAACTTCATACAGAGCAACAAAGATGAAGATAAGACTTGTTTCCCAGAGAAACTAGACAAAATACTTGATCTTTCCTACTATCCAGTTCTACAATAACAACACAACCCTTCCTTCCTTCCTCCTCCCTGCCTTTGCCCTGCACTGTTGTCCCTCCCCAAACCTTGTGAAGTTGGGACATCAAACACTTTTAATCTGTTCCCACAGTGAAAATAATCTAGGCACAAAAAAAGACGAGTTAAAAAAAAAAGAGTTAAACAAAGAAAGCAAGTGGAGGGAAAAGCTCCATTTAAGGGAGTGACCATTTGGGAGCAGGACCTGCAGATCTGGGTCCCCATGCAAATCACACTCACCCATGGGAGACACAGTCTGTACATTAGGGCAGTTACTCCAGTAAAAAGTGCAAAAGATCAGAGCCTGTGTGCCCTCCCTCACTTTCTGCACTGAGATTTGCAGACGTCCATAGTTAAATAACTAAATCCTCCCAGAACCTGATGGCAACTGAGTATTAACTCCCTTAAGTTCTTTTGAAAAGCTCTAATCAATCCATTTCTAGGCAGTAAAGAAAGTCTGAGTTTCAGCAGGAAGTATCAAATATAAATAGGACATGAGCTAACTAATGAGTTTGACTTTTTTGGCACAATATGCTAAACCATGTCTATTAAAATACCATTAAATTATGAGAGCATAAATTATATTAAACCTTGATATGCCAAGTGGCTGCCACACCAAACTGGCTGTCCACAAAGCAGAGGTTTTCTCCCTTTTTATATAACAAAGAGACTCTTAAGTAGTTCAGATCTGACATTTAAGATTCATTTTAAAAATAAATAGAAAGGAGAAAAATAAAGATTAAAAGGGAAATAAATCATCAAGGGTAGGAATGGTTTTATCATTTGTCTTTCAAAGGGCAAACTTTTGGAGTTTTCAGCTGCTGAACTAAACCTCTTAGGAAAATTAAGCCTTTTCACTTATTACAAATGACACCCCCTCTGAGATCCTGTGTATAAATGTATATGTGGAAGGCTTTTCTCAGGAGGAGCAAAGCAATCTTGCCTACCTCCACAGCAAAAGGCAGGCAGACATTTGTGATTAATGTTATTCTACACCCAATTACACCTGTGCTAAGAGCAGGGTCCATTAGTGGTCCTTATTCTGGCTAATTACCTGTCGTGGCACAGGGCAGGGGATGAAGAGGCACCATGGCCAGGCACAGCAGCTCAGGGACCCCCTGGCCCCCAAAGGCAGGGGACATCTCAGCCTTGCCAGCTTGTATTTCATCCAGACTGAACCTGGATTCAGCAGATTACTTTGTTTTCTAGTGTGAATGTGTTTTTGTTACAAGAAAGTTGGAAGTGATTTTTATAATTGGACTAAATTTCGCCTGGATTTATAAATCAGTGAAATCCCATTGACGTCAGTAGAGTTGCCTGGATATAAGAGAGGAGAGACTTTGGCCCTGGTATTCATGTCATTTGTGGTAATAAAAGGAATGTCCTAATACTCCTAAAGAGAAATTGGAGACCAAGAGCACAATTGCTTTAACAAGTGTTTCCACTGCTTCTTTGCTTGAAATTCACATGAACTTTTTTGGTTTTAACCCACTGTTTGTTTCCTTAAACTAACCTAGCTGCCACTGTTGCAGAAGATGAATGCAACTACATGAATTCCACAGATCCATCAGATTATGGGAAGGCCAGGACTCCTACACCATCCTTATTTTTACTGGCAATCTTCCAAGACCAGCTTCATGGTGTGACTTGTATCATATAAATCTGAGTCCAACAGCTCAAAAGTTGCTCAAGAAAAATATTCAGCTTGGAAATGCATCTTCTTTGAAAGCACTAGGCATTTGAAGTCATAAGACCATGATACATTCAGACTGTGAATAACATTTTTCTTGGCCTAATGCACATCTCCAACAATGATGGCCAAAGCTCTGTGGAGAGGCAGATGCCAAAGGAAGTGTGTTGGTACCTGCCAGAAGAGGCTGAATCAGAGATAATGCTGAAGTGGTTCATTTCAGAGAACCAAGTGAACTCCCTGGTGCATTGGATGTTCCAAGTGCCCCCATGGTTTCTCAGAAAGGTCTTACTGTAAATGCAGCAAGACCTCTGCCTAGAGCAACAGCCCGTGTGGAAGCAAAGATAAAGTCACATCCATGATTTACCAGCAGGCAAATGCTGCCTCTGAAAGACAGACTCATCTACTACAGACTTTTACACTGTAAAATAATATTTGCTTTTGTAAATTACAGTAGCAAAATAATCCTCATCTATTCAGATAAGGGGCAGTTCGTGTCCTATTTCCATGCTCTGCTTATCAGTGTGCCAAAACAAGGTTCTAGAAGGGAAAGACAACTTCACAGACTCAAGTGAAGATTAAATCTCACACTCTGGGTTTTAGTTTTATGCTCGTGCCGGTAATAGTCTGTGCTTCATCATAGTAATGCTTCTTAATTGGATTCTGTGTCCAGAGGCCATTCTACAACTATTGGACTACAAAATACATTAATCAAAAGCAATTTGTTTTGCATTTGAGCTGGTCACCTACAAGAGGAAAATGCTGGGGCTCTACAAAGGTTCCCACTCCTCTTCTCAGGCTGGCCCTGGCAGCACCCTGCACTCCATCTCCCCAGGGCAGAGGCTCAGGAAAACTCACTGCTTGCCAGAAATGTTTGGTTAACACATCACCTCTAAGCAATACTCTCTGGAGACACAGTGAACGGGAAACAGTAGCTTCAGCAGTACAAAACAGTATTTCTAAAATGTAAGATTACAGTTCTTGTTAAATAGAATTTAGGAAAGCAGCCAGCTGGAAATTACTTCATAGCCTTACAGTGTCTCACAGGCTGCTCCTGCCCTAGCTCCCTGTTCCCATCAGCTGTGCTCATCTGCTTTCTAGGAAGTGGTGTTTCAAATGCAGTTAGTGCAAATCTCAAATTCATAACCTGTATCTGTTCCTCTTAAGTGAACCCACTCAATAGCACGCTTGGGGACAAAAATGGAGTCAGCTATGAAAAGAGAAGGCAGAAAGGAACCAAAATCAAATTAGATTGTTATCAAGCATGAAAGTTATGTATCCCAAAAGCATCTAACAACCAGCCATCAAATCCAGGTGTCTTTCAACGTTTTTCAGTTCTTCTTGGAGTCACCTCAGTGCAAAGGACAGAATTTGTGCTCTGCAGTGCCAGGGTGATAAGATGAAGCAGCTCACCTGCTACCTTGACCTGGGTGGGCTTGCAGGTTCTGCAGGGCAGCACCTGGAACTCCTCAGCCTGGTACATGGAGTAGTCAGTGCTGGCCACCACCAGCCTGTCCCCAGGGCTCCAGGAGCTCACATCATCCACCAGGTTCAGGATCGTGCTGTTCACGTTGGTGTCCACAGTCACCGTCAGCTTCGGTTTCACTGAAAACCCAAAATGCAAGGGTGGGCAATTCTGTCAATCTCATCAGAAAAAGCTTGTTCTTTCCTTTCTTCTTCCCCCCACAACCCCTCCTTGGAGCACCACCAAAAGTTATTATTTTCTCATGTTAAAAAGAAAAAAAAAGTTAACTCCTTCAAACATGTTTTTTACTGGCTTTGGCTTGGCAAGCAAGAAAACAGGAAAGTACTTTTCTTCAGTTGCAGGCAGGTGGATTTTCCACTAACGCCAGGATAAATTTAAATGTAGCTCTTAGTGGCTCATTCTCACCACACCCACTTAGCAGCAGCTCCTGTGGGCGTTGGGTGCTGTTGTTTACAGCAGCCAAGTGGTCTCTAACCTAATGATGGTTTTTTCCAGCAAAACAACACGTTTGTCACCCTTCTTTTCCTGCCAGCACCAAATATCCTAGTGACCTGTGTAATGACCAGGGTAAGGACAGGAGTGTTGGAATGATTAACTACAAAATGACAGTTTCAAACCCTGTTGTCTTCACAGGTTCTGATTGACTAATCCTACATCATCCCAAAATGTTTTTGAAAAAGACAAGGAATTTACAGGAAAGAACTTGTCAAACATTTCTCACAGCCTTGCTGGGTATTTGAAAAACCACCCTGCTGCTTCTGTTACTGCTCAGGAACTTTTCCTGAGATAAATATTCAGCCATTCTATCTGAATTCATGTCCATAGCCCAGCCCAAAGCTTTAGCTTGGAAAAATTACAGAAGTTGTTGTGACACCAAGAAAGAGCCAGTCGTGAGGGATGTCTGCTGTTCTCAGTTCTGCCTTTCAGCGGTGGGGCACATACCAGATTTGCCACACAGGAACCTGACTCTGTAGTTGTGGCAGCCCTCTCCTGTCTGGTCCTTGCCGTGGCACAGGAATTGGTAATCATGGCCGCCCTTGTAGAAAACCTCCGTGGTTAAATCTGCTCCATCAAGAGTCATTGCCTGGAAAAGGGATGGAAATACAGCTCAGGTGCTGCTGTGAGTGAAGGGATTTCACCAAAACATCTGAGCCATCAGAAGAGGCCTTTGCTTAGTTATGTGTGGTGGCATAAGCGCTGCCTAGCAAACCCCTGTGTTTGTGCCCTCCAGGCAGCACTTCCAGCTGCTGCTCACACACAGCTCCTGCTGAGGTGCACGCCTTTTCCTGTGTCTGTGTGAGACCATGGGCTGTTTGGGAGGAGTTTGGGAGCTTCACAAACAGCTGCCTCGGTGCCCTGGATTTTCTCTTGCCACTGGTTTGAGGGCAGATGGAAACGTTGAACACGGATGCTTGCACCCAGATGAACCCGTGGCTTCAAGCCTCTGCACTGCTCTCATTCCATTGCTTGTGGCTGGGCTCTGGATGAACCTTGCAGAGGAGAGGGGCTAGGGGTTTCATTTCTCCATTGCATGGATCAGTCTCCCAAAAAAACCCCAAGGGTGCTGCAACACTGCTGCCTCTGAAAGAAGTTGAAAGAAGTTTTCCAAAAGAAACAAGGAGAAAGTGGCCTTTCCTCACAGGCAAGTACCAGCCTGTAGAGCTGCCTTGAGGAGTTGTTATCTTCTCAAGGCTGTATCATGCCAAGAAGCAGTGAGATATGAAACCTCTCTGCTGTTCCTGCTGGGGCAACGTCTCAGGGTCATGTCAAATTTCACATTCTGTCTCCAGAGCTTGCATTTCTCTTGACCCTTTCACAAAAATGTGTTGCATTGCATGGGGTATCCAAATATCACGTGCATTTTGGCAAGGCACCAGGAGAAAAGCCATCTTTCCATGAAGGGGCTGATCCTGATTCTCTCACTCATGCAGGCTTTCCTTATTAATGAATCCACCCCTGCTGCCATGTGTGGAATTAGCACCATCAGCTGGAGGAATGTGCCTCTGGCTGTGCTGTTCTGCTGTTATTATCATCATCATATCTTCAATTTTCTCCCATGTTCCAGAGCTGGGCCAGGCCAGCTGCTATAAACCAGTGCAGCTTTGTAAAAGCAATGAGCAGCACCAGATTACAGTACCTAAGGATTTGCCCTAAGATCTGCAGGATAAACTGAAAAATGTCTCACTTTTAATATACATGGAGGGAAAAAAGAAAAAAACAACTTATTTCACAGAAGAGGGGAAAAAAAGGTTTGTTTCTAGAGCAGAAGAATATCTTCTTTCTGTTTTAACACACATTCTAGAAGGGGATGCATCATAAACATCTGACCCCTGTTTTGAACTAAGTTGTCACTTCTAATACACGTATATGGAAGCAGACATGAATGTGGATTTGGTAAGACCTGGCAGAAAATTATAGGGCAGTTTTTTCCTTTCTGTTCAAGAGAGATCCTTTATTGCATCTAGCCCTGGAAACTTTCACTCATACAGTCAGCATTCCCATTTACTTCAATAGCCACATTCTTGTGAATAAGAACAACTCCACTGTCAGAGCACACAGGAACCTTGGGCTCAGCCTCACACAGATGTGAAGGATTTTACTGACTTTTTCTAGGCAATGCTTCTGCTATAGTATTTTTACCAGGTAGACATAAAAAGTATATGGTGAACACATACAAAAAAATACCCTCATTTCTTGCTAGGCTTTTTTGTCCTCAAAGAGTTTTTTTGCAGTGTCACAAAAGATATCTCAGTGCTCCTCAGCGTGCTGGCCTGATGGCGTAATTATAATGCTTAGCTCCAAACAGAATTCAAATTTCTTTCCACAGAGATAAAACAATTGGTTCCAAGAAATGGCTGAAAGCTCAGCAATAATTTTGACCACCTGCTACAGCTGGTAGTTACACTATCTTGTTGCATTTTGTGATTAATATTTTAGGTAGGGTCCATTCCAGGACCATTTAAAACCTTTGAAATTTTCATGTGCTTGCTCCTTTTAATCTTCCAGCAGGGAACCACATATTTCATGATAGCATCTGTGCTGTCCATGACCCATCTGTACACCTTTTCATGCCAGGAGCTGGAATTTACTGAAAGGAGCTCAATTCTACCAAATTTGTCCCAGAACAATACGAGACTGTATACAAGATCTTATGGGTTACATATTAGAGTGGTAAAATAATGGGTGTATTTTATTTAGAAACAAAAATTACTGACAAGCACAATTATTTTGGGAGTCCAGTGCCAGTGCAAAGAAGACTTGCCCCTCTGAAGTGAGTGGTAAGCCTGCCTACCTGGATGTCAACGGGCTGCCTGCAGATTTTGTCAGGATGAGCAGCTTTGAAGTCAGACAGCTTCTCCATGTCCTTAGATCTCGCTTTGTCAGGCTTCACAAACCACTCTGTCCATTCTACATCTGGAGACAAGTGCAAACAAGTATAGACATTTGAAAGTCAAGCTTAATGAGTGCAGCAAAAATGCATGAAGCATAAATATGATCTCTGATATCGTTCACAAGTTTCTTCACTGATGATCTGATTCATGCCTCTTCCTGCCAGTCTGTCAGCCACTTTTAATGATGCTGTGAAGTGCAACCAGCCCGGGGAGAGCAGAGTTATTAAAAGCTTCATAATTGGCGTGTGCACTGTAAGCATTATTAATAGATACAGATTTTGGATCCGTGTCTGCCTTAGCTGCCTCCTCTGATCTTCAGATCAAGTTGCACCAGCTACTGTGTGTTGTCTGAAACATGGACATGATGGCTGTGCAGGGAAAAGAAGAGGTTGTGTGTGATCTCTGAGACCACAGGAGATGGAATTTCATACCCAGTGCAGAAAAGGAAAAAGGATCCCAGTTATTCAGAGGGTCCTAGAGACAACTGGGGGGGATAATCTGTGAGTGTTCATTAATTGGTTTAGTGATGACATAAATAGCAGCTAGCAAGGCCACTCTTCCCAAATGGAAAAGGATTGCAGGAAAAAGGATGATTCACCCTATTTATCAGCTGCCTAGCACCAAGGGAAATAGCCAACAGACCCCTCACCTTGAACCCACTCGCTCGTTGAAGAGACATTAAAATGTTCTCCATTCTCAGCTTTGAAGAGTTTGAATACTTTGGCCACAGCTGAACCTTTGTGACCTGTTAAAAAACAAAAACATTAGTAAAATCATTGAAATCAATTGGAAAAATCATTGAATGCAATTGATAAGAGTAAGAACTGAAAGTAATTGTGCTTATTTGCATACTTTGACTACATTATTCAAAATTAGCCTTGCACAAATTCCAGAAAAATTTACTAATCTTGCAATGAGGCTTCAGACACTTTTGTAATTGCATGGATAATGAGAAAGAAAAACTTTCAAAAATCAAGAGAGGATAAAGCCCACAATTATTTGTTATATATTACTATTACATTATTATTTTTATTTAATGTTGTAGTAAGCTATGTTATTCATGTCATGAGAAGACAGAAGAGTCAACAGTGTTCACAGGACGACTTGAGGCTACTGATTCAGGACACACTGATTAAATTTTCAGCTGGTGTGAGTGAACTGGGTCTGTTCCACAGATTTGTGTCTTAAGAGAGGCAGTGTCTGAGCTTAGTGAAGTTACATGGATTTTCACTGGTGCAGGATCTCACCTTTTATCTAGAGGTTTGGATAACCTAAGCTATCCCTCACTCAGCTGCTTCAGATGCATTAGTGGGAAGAAGCAATATATAAAGAGAGCATTCAATTAAATGTGTCAAAGCACCAATTGCTCATAGCTTTGATGTAATGCAGTGGGAAGTAAAAAACACCATTGACCAAACTAATCTCAACTATAACTCCAGTAACTCCCAGACATCACGTCAAGACAGAATTTTGTGCATTAAATACCTTGATATTCAATGTGGTCTTCAACAGAAGAGGAGGGATTTCCTTTAATGGTAATAAAACTCCAGGGGTGCCTGGAAAATGAAAATGAGAAATGATCAAGTAATGTCAAGTATGAGATGGATATTTCTTATAGCCCAGTGTTCCTAAATTTCTCAGAGGCACCACATCCAAAACAGTTTCATTAGTGTCACAGGCAGAGTAGTTAAAATAATTATTATCTTAACACTCAATATTTCTTCAGTAAATATATCAGAAGAGAAGCAAGTTTGAAGACAAATCCCCACTTAAAACATGCCTGTAACAAGTGTGTTTGTTTTTTAAATGAATGTTTGAAGACACTTGTGTATGACAGACCCAAGAGACACTGGCAACTCCTTGGGGAGCCTGAAAATAAATCCTCTGTGTGTGATTACATGTTTATACACTGAACAATATGAAAAGAAGCCACTGCTTAAATAAATTTAGCTCATGCTGAAACCTTGTAAATGACAATTGTCTTTGGAATGACCCATAAGAGTTTCTAATAGACAGACTGGCTGGCAAAGGACAGTAAAAATTCTTAGATAGTCTCTGCATATCTGGTTTCCTTCTTTGAATATTGAGCATTGAACAAGGATAAAGGTTTACAGCTCTGAATTGTCTATTCAAACCTGATCCCAAGCCAGAATTCAGTTCATTATCATCTGATGGTTTTTGATCAAGAGGGTTCAGTAGCTATCAGCCACCCTGGAGGATGAGAAAACAATGGAGACAGGGACTAAAGTGCCTCCCAACCTTGGGGCTGAGCCCAATTAGGAGGGGTCAGGGGCGATTTTTATCTTCAAAGTAGAAGCAGTTCAGGCATATCCGCTCTTAATGAGTAAGAGAATAAAAAATATGCTTTTAGGGTGGTAGGGAGACTGCCCTGAATTACCAAAAACTCCCATGGATTAGGTCATGTCTCTATAGCTATAAACATCTGGTCATTTCAATTGCATCAGGAGTCTTGCAGGTCACCTTACATTGGTGCAAGTGAAGTTCCAAACCAGAGTGGTTTGGAACTGCAGAACAAAACACATACAGACATTGAGAGAGAGCCACTAACACACACCCAGATCACGAGCTGGGCTTTGCTGGGATTTGCTGGGGTTTGGTGCTGTGGGGGCAGCAGGGGTAGGCTCGGGGTGAGCTCTGGTGCAGCCCAGGCTGTGCCATGGCCCTGGTGGACACTGCTCAAGGGGACACTGTCCCAGCAGCATCCTCAGCCCCAGCCCTGGCCAGGCTGGGTGGGAGCTGCCAGCACCACTGCCTCGGGAGCTGCCAGCCAGCCAGATGCTCCTGCTGGAAAATCTGCCTTTGTGCCAGTTGCTGAAGGCACTGACAGGCTGTGATCTCCATCCAGGGAGAGAGGGGGATGGGAGCAGGAAGGACACTTTATCACTCAGCACTCAGGATAGACGTTTTGTTATTATTATTATTATTATTTTGGTAAACAAAATTTGAAACAAATGACAAAATATCATGATGCCTCAAAAATAATCTCAAAAAAAATTTTTTGAAGAATAAGGAGTTATTCACTTCTGCAGCTCAAGGTTTGGCCCCATTTCATGTGTTAAAATACTTGTTTCTCCCTGTTATTTTGCCACTAAAAATAGTTTTAAAGTCGTTCAACCCTGACACATAAGGACACATGCAATCTGTTTGGGCTGTATGAAATGAAGCGACCAGGAAGTCCAGAGCCAAGCAGGAGATATTTATGTGGAATTCCAAAGAGAATAACTATGTCATCAAGTGCAAAAAGGCTTTCTCTTCATTTATTAGTAAAAAGGGGGAAAAATGGCTCACACTGAAAGAATAAACACACTTTTCAGAAGGAAAACAATAGGAGAGGAATGCAAGATTTTCCTTTCATTCCTAATGAATGTTCTGGACTCAGCAAACAGGGAGTAAAAGAGATTCCAGGAGCACAGAAACATTGCTGAATAAATCAGCATTGTGCATCGACTCTGCCACAGCAAGGGGGAGTTGCACAACTTTACAATCTGGTTGAACACTGAGCGAGTGGAGATGGAGAGGAATTTTGCCCATTAACTCCCCCCATCACCCCTTCCAGAAACCAACACAATCTATGACTGAATCACACCCTCCTTCTCCCAGGGATGCCCATGGCCAGCCCCAGCCATCCTCAGGAGCTGGGAAGATTTGACAGCCAGGATTGAGCAGGAGCAGCCAGCAAACCCCAGTACTGGGCAGGGAGTGCTGACAGGAGTGTTAGAAATAAAAATCCATCTGCTCTGCTCAGTCAGAGCCTGCCATGGCCACAGAGGGTGAAATGTGTACACACGTGTGTAATTTTCTCATTCTGAACATTTTTTTCTAAGGTTCTAAAAAAAAATTTCCAAAAGCACCTGTCAGTGCATACATCCTTATTCATAGTTATAGATGTATCTGAAATGTAAACCACTATATCTGAATCTTGTTACACTGAAGGGGAAGTTCAATTTGCTTTAGAGGAAAAGCATGGACACACCTAAATCTGCCTGTGTTCCACTGTGCCATCAAACTGCCTTTCTAAGTCTGGCCCCAGCTGCCATCCAGACAATGTGGTTTTTGAGAATTGATGAACTTAAACTCTGAGAACACTCCTAAAAATATGCTCTTTTAAATAATGCACCAGATATTTTTCCACACACCAGTGTGCTGGTGGAAGACAGTGTTGGCCAATTACTACTTCATTATTTATCCACATGTCTCTATAATTCATGGAATGCAATTTTGTGGTATTTCAGATAACAGCATGGCAAGGATTAGCCTTTTGACTGCAAACAATAGCAACACTGAAAGTCACACTTCCATGGATGAATTTCTGCAGTATTTCCATTACAAACATTGATGGCAAAATGTTGAAAAGCTTGCATTAAAACACCACAGCAGCCTAAAAAATTCAAGTGCAATTTACTTTTATAAACATTTGCAAAAACCATCAATTCCTTCCTGTAGCATTATTGGGGAAAAAAAGTATAATGTTCAAAATTCAAATTCTGTTTCTTTAATTCCAGCATTTGAAGAAACACCCAGCAGGCTACTGGGCTCTAATATGGGGTCTAGATTTGAGAGCAAGAATTGCACTGATGGAGACAGCCTGGTTTTGGAGACCATTTCTGTCCTTCTTGTTAATTCTTTGAAATGTGTTGTCTGGTGCCCAGGAGTCCCTGTAACTTTTGACACAACCTCTTCGTCACCCACCCCAGATCTTGCTCCATCTGTGTGTGCCCAGCTGACAGATGTCTCTTTCCATAAACTCCTGTATTGAAACACTTCTCCCTACAAGGCAGATTTTGTGTGTGTGTGTGTTCTGCAGACACTCTCTTAGTGCCTCATAAAAAAAAGCCTACATAAATTCAGATAAACACAGAAAATATAATGGCTACAGTTGGGTAAATAGCAAATATTCTCAACAGTCTGTGTGCCAACACAGACACTGTTTTGGCTACAGAAGTATTTACAGTCCACACCATAAATCCATGTTTGCTAAATTTCTGTGCTGCACAAGTCCCCAGACCTGTACTGGACAAGCAGAGAAATGTGCTGTATGTGTGTCTGTATGTAGCCAGGGCTACACAGCAATTATTGTACCCTCCTTAATGCTCAGCCCATCTAATCCTCTCTGTCTGTATGAATATGCCTCTTAAATCTTTGGGGGATGGCTTGAAAATAAATTGGAATAAGCAACCTGTGGGAACAATGTCTTGGAAAACAATCTTTTTTAATGTGAATCATATGCTATTCCTCAATCTGCTAATAAAAATACCCAATATAGACTCTGAGTGCATCTGAAACTATCCAATTAACTGCTAAAACTGCACATTGAGATGTTTCCCTCTTTTTTTTTTTTTCTTTTTTTTTTCCCATGTGAAAGAACTTTGTGACTTTGAAAGAGTGGAACTATTTGGACATCTCAGGAACATAATAAAGCCTCTGTGCTGGGAGAACTGGCAGGACTGGCACATACCTAAACCCAAGGTGGAGGAAATGCTTGCTGCCCAGTTTGGTCATTGCTTTCCTGGCCAAGTCATCCAAGTTTCTGGATCCTTCATCATTCACTGCGACCGACAGGATCATGCCATTTGCAACTCTGCCCAGATACTGAGCCAGGCGGACACTTTCCTCTTTTGCTCTGTAGGTATCAAACCTGAAACGGTCAAAAACCCCCATAAACATTTACTGCAGCAATCACCACACCTTTATGTACTGAAAAGCAAGTGCTGTAAAGAAAGTACTCTTTTGTATTGCTTACTGTAATGTTACACTGCTGCAAAAGCACTTGTCTAGCAGGGTGTCTGTTAAGCCAAATTGATTAAACTCTAATTGACAAACTGCAAGGTATAATAACACTGCTCACTCTGTGGTCTAGGAGGAATTGTACAGATGTGCAATTGCACCCATTTGAACAAGATGCTGAAATGAGTGTGTTTGAGCTTGCTGAGATGCCTGCTCCCCCCAATCCTCACACCCAGGCAGCCAGAGGGTCACTCACCGATCAGAATGGACAACTGCCCCTGTCCTTGGGTCAATGACGTGGACAATGACACCCCGGTGGCCCCAGCTCCTCTCGAAGTAATATCCACCTTCTTCCATGCCACCAGGATGGAGAGTCTTGTTGAGGAAAGTCCAGGAGAGCTTTTTCTTTCCGTGGATCTCAAGGGTGCCGCCTTTGCTGACTCCAAGGTACTTCTGCCCAAAGTAAGGATCTGGCTGGCTGCCGTCATCCGCTCTGGAGCAGGAAAGGAGGAAAGGGAGCAGGTTTGGGTTTGTTCTGAGTCAAGGAACCCTCTCCTTGTGCTGCCATGACCCAAGGAGAGGTCTCAAAGTTTGCTGTGCATTTCTTTCAGGTATTCCAAGAATCAGGAGCTGCCCACGTTGTACAGAAAATAAATTATATTAAAAAATAGTAGCAGCTACCAAGGACTAAAAGCAATCTGGAACATAGCTTATACATGCTATATTAATTATATCCAGGCCAGAGGAGGCCTGGAGCCCAGACTGAATGGCATATCTGTGCTTTTGAATTCTGGAGGCAGGCAAGACCCTAATCAGGAGCTAAGAGGTCCAGTGATTGTTAAATGTTAATTTAGCATCCTTGAAATTTCAAGAGATCCTTTACCAATCTGCAAGACAAATGTATTATCCTTCAGCTCACAACTCCCATATGGAAAGAAAGGAGGCTTAGAGAGGAGAACTTTCAGACAAAAACAACTCATCCAGTTTTAAGCCTATTCTGAAAAATCAGTCTGAGTTGTGGGAAGGTGCATGCTGATTCTCTAGCATGCCCAAACACCCCAGTGTTCATATCCCAGTAGAAGAGAAAAAAATCCCAAACCTGCATCAATTTTGTGGGCCATTTAAATTGTTTAAAAAGCTACTGAACTTTCCACAGAGCACTGATGATAAGTATACCTGAGAACATGCAATTTTAAGGAACACTTTCATTCCCTGATGTGGAAGGGAGATGCTAGAAGGTTCTAAGGTAGTATTTTACCATGCATACATACCGCCCATATAAGATGATAACCACATTGCCTTGGTAGGGGCACAGCTCACTGCCAATGTGCAGCTCTCCATCATTTTCAATGAGGATGTGTCTTGTACGCAGAATGATGGGCTGCACATCATCTTTGATCACCAGTTTTCCTAAACAGAGAAGGTTATGACATTTGCTTTATCACCCAGCAGCTCATGTGATGTTGTGGTATCATTGTGCTAAACTGACATCTCAGTTTTTGAAGTTTTTCTCTTCTTACACCCCAAAACAGCTCTCAATACAATTCCTGAAAACATTGGTTTTTATTCGGTCCAGTTCTTGAAGAGTGCAAATAAAATTTACATGGAAGAGGACCAATTAAAAACTGAGAAATCTAGAGTTAAGATGAATGTAAGCTATTCATGCCAGCAACACTATGGCTCTCTCCTTGGAGACAAAGAGGGACATAAGCATCTACCCTGTCCTGAGGCCCTGATAACACAACTACTGCAGTGTGATGCTATCAGGCCTGCGCTTTGGTAAAAAAATGTTTTTGAAGCAAATTGCAGAAGTTACACTGAGATACTTGTATAAATTCTCCAGACGGGATAGAAATTAACCTGGTTACAATGGCTAAAGAATCTCAGCACTTCAGCTACCACCCAGCCCTGTACTGAGGTGTATTTGCCCAGTCACCACTCCCTTCTCAGCAAGAAGCTGTCCCAGCACGATCCCCAGTGATTTAAGCAGTCCCAGGGGAAAGCAGAGTGCAGGCAGCCTTAGAGCAGCAGGTTTTACCTCCATCAGTGATGTGGATGGAGTGCACGGTCGCAGAAGAAGAAAGCAGCACCTTCCTGCCACTGCGGATTTCAACGCGGTTTTCTTCGTTGTGCCCTGGGTTCCACACTTCTAACTCAGGCTCTCTGTCAGGACATGTGGCAGCTGCTTCTGCTGGGCAAACATGGAGAGAGGGGACAGTCAGTGTTTGTTTGGAGGGGGACAGGAACCTGGGCATCTTTACAGTATCATTCAGCATCGGCCCCTGCCTGACTCCCTGGAGCACAGCAGTGCCTCAGTGCACCAGGGCACATGTGGGTCACCACCAAAAGAAAACAAACAACGGCTTAAACTGATGGTTTTCTGTTTTCTGGAAGAATGGAAAAACCCAATGCAAAGGAGCTTTGCAGGGGATGCAGTTTCTAGAAAACTACTGAAAAGGTACTTTCACTGAGCCCTTCCTGCAGTGACATTTAGCTCTGTTCACACCATCTAGACACAAAGCCCAGGGAAGGTGTTGATAAGAGGATAAAACTACTACCTTTAAAAAAACTACCAAAACCTGCTTTGTTTAATATAAAAATGTTAAAATATGTTTGCATTATATATTTTCATTTGAGATGGAAAGAGAGATCAAACTAACATGGAAACACCAAGCACCAAGCAATTAACAGTACATCCAGTAACAGAGAACAGCAGGAACCTCACAAGTGTGCCTGGCTTTGTGAGCTTTTCCAGGCAGAAGAAATAAGGATTCATTCACTTTGGGATCACACATCTGCAGTCTCCACACACCAATTTGATGATGGGCTGCCATGACGTGCTAGTCCGAACAGCTCTCATACCACATGCAAGAGTCTCATGTTGCAACTATTTATTTCAGATAAAATATTTCCCTGGTACAATCTCAGTTGATATGTGAGCCTCTAATCAACAAATATGATATGTCTTACTGTAATCAACAAAGCTGTGAGTGAGAGTCTCAAGTGTGATGCATATTTTCTGAAGGTAGAACCTTTTCTAATCCCTGGAAGCTGAGGTCAGTGGAAGTTTGAACAATGAGCCCTTTGCCTTCAGAAAGGGCTGGGAGTTCTCACCAGCTCTATAGTTTTTATTCCTTAAAACAAAAACACCATGGAGAAAAGTACAGCACCAACAAATCCATGATGATGGGCATGGGATAAACACCTTGAGCTCAGCAGGGTTATGTCTCTGGAACTCGGTATGGTAAATTGGGTGGGTTTTGACCCACAGGTAATTGAAATGCCTCCAGGTAATGGAAAGGACAGTGATGTGAATCCAAGCAATGAAACATTTCCTGCTACTGGTTCAGTCAACAGGCAGCTGTTCTGTGCTGCCACTGTGGAACTTGAAGGACATCTGTAATTCCACTGCAACAAAAACAAAATCTGCCCATCTGCATTCAGTTTCCCCTCACATTCCTCCACCAGCTTCATATCTTAAGATAACAATAGAATTGGACCAGTCATGGCTTTAAAGACTCCAGAGCCCCAATAAATATCAGTTTTCAAGGTGAGTGAGGGATGTTTCCTGTGGGCTGCATAGACCTGTCTCTCTGCAAACTTTACCCATATACACGAAGAAAATCAGAGAGGGACAATAATCTACCAGGCAGCAAGTCAGATACAGATAAGCATTCAGGAGCTGATTTTGATACCGCTGTGCCAGCTGGAAGCTGGAATTGCATTAATAATGTCAGAGGCACTCCCTCTGATTTACAGTAATTGAGAAAAATGAGGAGGTGTTTCTGGGTTCCAACCAGAAGCCACACAGAATTAATAAAAGTTAGAAAAGATAAATATTTCAGACAGGGAATGGGGCTTGCATTGTAAATAGATGTTCAAATATAACTGCAATACACACTGACAACAATTAAAAACAAAAAAAGATCTGTTATTTCCCTGAGAATAAGGATAGTAGAAAAAAATTGCTCTTGATGAGAAGTGATATAAACCAAGAGAATCCATTCAAATGTAAAGGTATAATGTAAAGGTATAATTTATCAATTATACCTTAATTAACCAATTCAAATGTAAAGGATAAAAATCTTGTTCATTTTTCCATTTGCTTGAATATGCTGCTATGCAAGGAGCTTCCTGCAGTCTCAAAAGATGGCTTGTGCCCCCAAACTCATTATTTTGAAACAGAGAGGCACACAGGGAAGACTAAGGGGAAATCAAGAGGAATTCAGGCTGCTGTTTGGGATGACAAACAGCAAAAGCCAACAAACCAGAAGCAGAGGACCCAAATTCCCAGTTTCATTAACCAATTTGTAGCAGGAACTTTGCACATCACCAGCATCTGCTGTGCCAATGGCACCATCAGGCTGAGCATCTTCTGCCAGCTGGTCCAGTTACCTTGACAGCTTGATTACTGCCTTCATTGTCATTTTTTAAATAAAAGTGCAAATTCTTCCCAGCACAAGGAATTAACTGAATGTTTGCTTCTTGACCAAAAGGGCCTGAGCATGACAATGAGAGGTTGCTCCATGCAGCTGCAGTGTTTGGGGCAAGACATATGGGCTCTTTGTTCCAAACAAATCCAAACCTCCAAACTAGCTGGATATAGAATATGTAAATCAAGCTCCCCTTTCCCCCTTCCCTAAAATGCTTGTTAAAAAACAGCTTGGAAGAGACAAAACCCAAGGGACAGGGATGTCCCAGGTCAGAGATTTTTGCTCTCCACATCTGGGCTGGAGGAATGCAGGAGAGTGCTTGCCTTCACCTCCCTCAGCCACAGCTATTAGACCTGAGGTTTCTGTTGCTATTTCTTTGTGGCAGTTTGTTGGGTTTGTGTTTGGTTTAAGGATGTGTGGCAGAGTCTGAGGCATTGCTGACGGGACTTTCACCTGCTCAGAAATTTCAGTCCTTGCCACTCCAGCTGCCCTTGACTGGGTAAACTGGCACACCAGAAAACTGCTTTTCTCCTGAGTTTTTTCACTCTTCCCTTGACTCTTTTTATACAAAGAGGGAAAAGCTGATCAATTTAAACCTATTTTAAAAAGCATTACAAACCATACCCTTTTTCCCCATGGCAAGAAAACTTACCTGTGCTTATTGAAGAGACTACGAACAGGAAAAACCCCAAGCTTCCAGCCAGACACTTGGAGGTAGGTAGAGCCATTCTTCAGGATTTTCAATTCTCTGGATGGATAACTGTGAAAAAAGAATATCAAGAAAATGTCACTTTTTTTCTCCCCTTCAGCTCATTCTCAAAAAAAAAAAAATAGAAGAAGAAAAAGAGGTTAAATCCAGTTTTATGCCATACCACCTCCGCGCCTGTTCAGCTCAATGGCTGAAAACACCTTTGCACTGATTCAGGACCAGCCTGAGCGGAGCAAGGAGCCATGGGCAGCTCCTCACCCTTTGTTTGGTTTAGGATCAACCCACTCGGGAATCCAAATAGACACTGAGAGAGCAGCCACCAGCTGTAACCAAAAACGCCTCAGGAATGTGGCATAAACACATCCAGTGTCAGGGCTCTCTGGGGCTGCATATTCACATGTGCTAGAAAGTAATGAAACACAACAGAGAAGGCGTTTGCAGAGTGACAAATTTTCCTGGAGAAACCTTTCAGTGGCACCTCTCTCCCCCCCGAAATACCCACACATTTTTAGCAGTGGTGCTCTGTGTAACCCCCAGATAAACTGTACTCACACTTTCAACCTGAAGCATGCAGTTTCTTAGATTTCAGATCTAAGAAAATATTGTCTGTTTAGTGTGCCAGCTCAGAATTTTCTTGCAAAAACCAAAAGCTGCTTTTGAAACCAGCCTACCTAATGTTGTTTTTGTTTCTTCCGTAGCCAACCCCCAGCAAAAACAAACAAGCAGTGTCATGAAAGTCAAAGTTAGAATTAATGTGATTCTCTCTGGTCTCCAGTGATTGATTCTGCAGCTCTGCCCCGGGCTCATGACAATTTATTGACATGTGTATTCACAGGGAGGCAAGGACACCCACTTCTGTATTCATAAGGCACTGTTTAAAATTCGCATGTAGTCCTTGGAGTCTTTAGGTTTTATCATATAAGCCAGTGTCTGAGGAATATCAAAGACATTTATTTGTAGCTGTCATGTCACATCCCACTGCTGAAACCAGACAAATGTATGCATCACACAGTTTAGTTCAACACAAAAAAAGAACACTGAAAAAAAATTCCAGGGTACCCCAATTCCTTTAGGGCAAAAACAAATGTTGTTTTCCATATCACTTGTTAATATAAGCTAAACAACAACAAAAACACAAGACAAAGAATGAAAGAAGCCAAGATTTATTCTGGAGCAAATTTTGTGGTGTATATGTAAAACACATCTGTACCATTCATAAAGGTGCCACAGCTCAAAGTACAATGACAGGTTCAAAACACATGTAATCCAATGATTGCAGCAAAAACAGCTCTAGGACCAGATTTTACAGGAAATATTTTGCCAGGGAAATGTTTGTTTGCTTTGGTATAGTGTATTTGACAGCCCTGAGCTCTGGAAGCAGCATAGACTCAGGGCTTGGTGGAGTCTATCAGGTGCTGAAATGCTGTTAGAGAGCAGTGGAAGAGAGGAATGCACTTAGCAGTGCTATAACTTTGAATAATGCACATTATCAGAGAGCAGCGCCGTCGCCATGGAATTCGTGCCAGAGCCAGGCTGCACGTGTCTGACATTTTAACAGCATTCACCATCAGCTTTGGATAAGCCAGAGCTCTTTCAAAGAAACATTATTAGAGGTACACCCAAAGTACAGCAGTCACCATTAAAATGCCAGGATTTATTAGTGATTATTGCACAGCCTGATCTGCAGACCCAGTCATTAGGCTCTGTTGGAATGATTGAGGAAGAACTAAACAAGAGGCAATACCACAGGATGGTCATTGCAGATAAACAGCATTTCTCACAGTGTGGACACAACTGTGTGTTAGTGCTCCACAAAGCCAGATTCCTACCAGTGAGGTTTTGCCCATAAAATATTCTCAGATGATACAAGGTTTCACAGGAATAAAAAGAAGGGACTGGTTTTTTGACAGTGGCATGCATTTGCTCTCCTATTGCTGTGTAGGTAGCAAAGAAATGTTTTTGTTCTGGCTCATTAAAAGCTCAAAGGAGTTTTTTTTGAAACCTTACCTCTGAAACAGACCTGCAGCAAACTGGTAGGAAACTACATCAAAAAATTTCTCAGCCTTTGCTTTCTTTAGAGCCAGGAACTGCACAGTACTCACCATCAGGTTGTGGAAAATGGCTTCTGATTTCTTATCCCTTGTTGCTCACCAGGGACTGCTTCCCTGATTGCATCCATCTTCATCAGCAGAGCTCAAAACAAGCAATCAGACACTGGGAAGACATGTCATTTTCAGAGGCATCAGTTGTGTGCCAGGGCTCTGATGTTTTCACAGTGTCTGATCTGCCCCAGTCCACAGAATATCCTGCTTATTCTGTGACTGAGGCAGGGTGTTTGATTCTGAGTTCATTGCAGTGTTAGTATGAACTGGCACTTGCCTTGGAAAGGCTGGGAGCCAAGAGGGCCAAAAGGATCTGACTCCTCTGATTCAGCTCTGACTAACAGCGGGCTGGAAAAATGCTGCTCGGAGGATAATCTCAGGAATTTTCCTTCCAAACCTCTCCATTCAGCATCTTTCCCAAATACCGGATCCAAGCATGTCTGGTTTGATTGTTCAGTATGAGAGGAGGAAGAGATAGTGACTGCCTGGTCCCTGAGGTGCAGGAGCAGGCTCAGGAGCAGATATCTCCTGCCAGGCAGCGCTTCCCTGGCTCAGCACTGGGAGCCCAGGGGATAGATACAACCACACATCCTTGAGCAGGCTCCAGCTCTGATGTAACCACCAGTGTCAAGCAATCTCCCTGCAGGCTCTCAGAGCACAAGGGCCATGCAAGTGGCTGCCTGAGCCTCACATCTCCAGCCTTCCTCAAATACCATCTGGGACTTCTCTCTTGGGCGAGAAAAGCTTTTCTATCTAGCCATTAAAAGCTGCCTGGCAATGGCAAGTGGGACTCATATCCTTGGATCTGGCAAGACAGACTCTCTGAAATGATTCCCAGCTGCTGAACCTTTCCAAAAAAGTGAACAATAGCAGCAGACAATGCTAAAAGTAGATGCAGGAAACCATCAGTCCTCAGCTGGCTGCTACCAGGTGTCAGCAGCGATGCTGTACTGGAAAGCACACTGCAGAGAGGAATCCCTTCCACCACCCTTCCCATGGAGGCAACACACTGAGGACAATTCTGAGAACAAAACAGTGAAGAAAAGCTCTGAGGAAGCTGGATCCTCACATGGTGGGGTCACACAGACACCCTGAATATGAAGGGTCAGATCAGAGCTTTCCAGGGTCATTCAGAAACACACAGCCCCTTGCACAACTCTGGACCAGCCACCCAAACCTGGAAACAAAATTTTTTAAAGTTTCTCCCAATATTGGGAGAAGTACTGCTTTCTCCCAATACTGGTTTAGAAGTGCTTTCTAAGACTGACCTGACACTCTTTGGAGGATGCACCTTCAGCATCTGCTGGAGGCTGCTCCTTTCAGTATGTCAGGCAGGGCATAATGGGATCATTCACAAACCATTAAAAAATGAGGCAAGAACTGGAAAAAAGCAGCAGCTACCTGATCTCTCCTGAAAAGGATGTCAAACAGGGGCAGCAAACCATGTGGCCCCTGTTGCTGCTACTGCCCAGTGAAAAAGACCACCAAGCTGCATGGGGGCAAAGCGGGGATCCAGCACCATCCTCAGAGAACAGGAAAAGCTCACAGGGAAAAGGAACCTTTTACCTGATGGGGAGTGAACTCCCAGCAGACACTAAAGTGCCCCGGGGGCCCCTCTGCAAGGAAGATGCTCTCAGAGACCCTGAGGGCTCAGTGCCAGGGCCACGGTGCACCAAGCCCAGAGCACTGATGCTGAGGCTGCAGCAGCTTCTGGTCTGAAGCCTTACTGCATCTTTCTTCATGCATATGCAGGGAGGCCAACATAGATTTGGAAGCTGCTCCCGAGAGAGGGAGGAGCTGTTGAATTAACGCCTCTGCTCCCTCCTTGCTGACACTGCAAGGCAGCAGGTCCCCTCGCCCCGCTCGTGGAATTCTGCATTTCAGCCCCAGCTGGGAAGATGGATTTGAGGTGCACGTTTGCTTTTCTGACCTGAGAACATGCCAGCCCTTGCTACAGTGACATACAGAGGGGATTTTCACACACCCAGCCACAGGCACAGCTAAAGCCTTCAGAAAATAAACACAGGAATTTCTGGGGATTGCTAATGGAAATGCTGTTCAGTCCCAGAGCATGGCAGAGCAAAGCTGCCTCTGCTCCACATCTTTTTCTTCTGCCTGCCACCCACACATCAGCTGCTCGTTTTTACTAGCAAGAGGAGGAGGATTAAACTCAGGAACAGACTTTAATTCTCAATGAATCAATACTGGAGTCAAAAGCAACATTCTGACTGTTTTCCCAGTGAACCTTGGTTTCTTATAAATTTATCTAATAACTTTCCCAACAAGAAGGTTCTGCTCACATATTCTGTATAAACATCGCTGCAAATTCCTTGGTTCCTAATGTCCATAAAAATAGATTCTGAATGAGGAGCAGGAGTTAGAGGAAACTTTTACAATTAATAAATTAAAGAAAAAGAAGGTGTTTGCTAATTTGTTGTAATATTGGCAAGCTATTTTGAGACAAATAAAAGGGGAAAAGTAAAGCTATACTTTTTTTGAAGAATTTACTTTTTTTAAAGCTATACTTTTCTGAAGAATTTACTTTTTTTTTTTTCTCAGAGGCTTACAGACTTTGAAGAGGAAAGGAAGCAATTTTTGGCCATGTTTAAACAAAATCATTTGCAATTCCCATCACTCCACCCATCTGAGGCTGACTGAGTCCCAGTTTCACATGCTTTCGAAGCGCTCAGCATTTCACTGAATTAAACCCTCCTCCAGCACATGAAGTTTTCAAAGCACCAAAGCAGTGGGAAGCTGAGCCCCGTTTGCTGAGGCTCAGGGTGCACTGGCTCTGCTGTGCCTGCTGCCAGCCAAGCTTGTGCTGCTAGGGGATGCCAGAAATGCAGAAATGATCTGGGGATGACCAGAATGACCACACACCCTGAATGCTGGGATGTGCTGGACACACCTGGATTAGCTGTGAGTCCACAAGGACACACACACAGTCCCTGTGGACTGCAGCACAGTGTTTGGATATCCTCAGGAAACCCCAGGAGGAATAGCACAGCTTCCTTGCAACACAACAGCCATGCAGCACTTACCCCACAGCTTCATTCACACGGGCTCCTGGTGTGTGCCAAGTTAGCAGCAGCCTCTGGAAACATCCCCTTGGATGCCCCTGCAGTCCCTGGAGGAACAGTACCCTCTGCAGAGCGTCCCTGGTCACAGGGCTGTGTCCCTCCCAAGGTAAGGAAAGCGAGTGCTGTGGCTGGAGAGGATCACAGCATCCTGAATCCTCTTCAAACTGCTGCTTTTAACTACCCAAATAACTGCATCAGGATGTAAATATTTTTCTTTTTGCTTTTGTGGTACTTCAGTGTTTGCATCTGGCTCGCCACGACTCCACGCCTTCCTCTCCAGGACATTTGCCATTTGCTCTCCTTCTGGGGCGGGAGGAGGAATAGAGATTTTTCAGAGGTTTAGGCACATTCCTCTCCTTCCTTCACCAGGCTCTTCCTTTGCCAATTGTTTAGTCTCAGCCTGGGGTTAGAGCTCTGCAAAATTTTATTGGGATCCAGGGTCTGGACATGTCACAGATTATCAAATAAATCTCCCAGAAGCTAAAAGCTTGCTCTGTGAGTACTTGTTCCAGTGCTGGACTTATGCTTATGAGCCAAAAACATCTTGCTTTTTCCCCACTGTGCAGCATCAGAAATCACAACAATTAGGTATTAATAGGAGTTCCAAAGGACTTCAGGATCTCCCTAGAGGGTCAGTGCCAGCTGCTCAGGCTATTGTACCATTCTCAGCCCCACGATGTTCCATGCATCACGATTTATCTTACCTTAACTGAGCAGGATCCCTGATTTCTTCACACTCTGGCAAGCCAGGCAAACGCAATGCTCACCTCTCCCACCTGGTGTGGGGATGGAGCCACGGTTTCCTTTTCTGCCTGTAAACCTTCTAGCTGTCCTCTGAGCCCACATCCCAGGACCATGGCAGAATGGGTGTGA